ATTATTGATCAGTCTAGACCTTCTACTAGGAAAACTTGAAGAAATACAATTGATATGCAAATTTTGATTATTTTTAGTTAAGAGAGACTCGTGTTTTGTAATCTTGAGTTTTTGTTCAGTAGCCAGATTTGATGAGCATCTATATAAACTTCAAATCACATTGAATATTCCAATAAGAAATGTTTTATTTTTTCTAAACGCTATTCCATTCCTTGATGTATTGGCTCAGGATGCCAGAGGATTTGTCTTTGTCATTTTTTGAGTTAATTGATTTTGTTTCAATCACTTACCTTCATTATTGGCGGTTGCTATAACAACAAAGGAACTATATAAAACTCCGTGATAAATCTTTTTTCCTCGGAATATATTATTTATTCCTCTATGAGGTCCTATGGACATTTTTTCATAATATCTTATTATTTAGATCTGTATGGTAGTCAAAATTTACACACACAAAAAAGTAAGCCTAAAACAACAAATAAATAAGAAAAAATAAAATAAATCACTTGTATGATTATTTCTGTGACGATATCACACACACAAAAACTCTCGCTGCTTGCCACAGTACCAACAACGACAACAACAGCAGCAGCAACGCCGACGATAATCTTCGTGACGGCCATCTTGGGATCCCTGTGTATGAGTTACTCGAAGAAGGCAGAACGCAGGCCACGCTGACGATATGACAACGACAATTACAACAACGACAACAACGACAAAGTCACATACATAATAATGTCCTAAAGGAGCGTTTATTTGTGTTTGATTAAAAAAATAAATACATCGTATAATAAGGGACTGCGCAACATTTATCAGGGGGTGTTGAGAATCCAGAGTTGGGGGCAAAATCTAATTTTATGTGCTTAAAGAGGGGGGAAACTCCTAAAATTAACTAGAACTTTAATTGGATATTGCGCAGTCCCTAAGCATAAACTTGCATTCTCTCTAACCGTCCAAGTTCATTCCGCGTTTATCTCCAGTCCAGTACGTGAACCTACAGGCTTCTTCTCAGACGGAGGCAATGGCAGTCTGTATTGGTCGAATACCCGAACCACTTTTTTCTCGGACGAGTATGGCAACGGAGCACGGATCGAGCAAAAACCGTCACTAGCCTGGGGAGGAGGTGGAGAGTATGGAAGAAAAATTGAAAATTGAAAAATTGAAAATTTTCAAGGTGTTTTTCTTATGTGTGCCCTCCCAAAACAGCTCATCCATGGACAGCAGAATTTTATAGTCAGAAATCGATCATATCCAATAGATATTGGAATAATTCAAGCTAATAATAACTAAATGTTTATTATTCTTGGTGTTTTATAATAAAGATCAAACAACTTACCATGATACCTGTTGTTTAAGAAGCAGATAATAAAATACCTGTAATAATTGACCCCTAACAAAAACTAATCTGCTTCAAACACAAATAGATAGCCTAATGTCTAGCATTGTCAGGACTGAAGAAAGTGGAAAAAAAATACTTTGAAATACATAAAAGAAATGCTTTTGGATTATGAAAAATGGTGACTCCATCCTTTTTATCGTGTTGCCGTTTTGGATTGTTTCGTGTTCTGATTGGTTGATAGGTCGAAACATCGCCAAGCCATAGCCGATGATGTAATGTTTTCAGCTCATTTAGTATGCATAGTCTCTGAATCGAAGATCAAGAATTTTACCGGAAAAAATCGTCCAAAAAGGTAAGTTTATTCAAAAAAACTTTCATTTACATCCWCCAAAAGCTGTGCGGGTATTAATTCATYGTAGYAGTTGTGGAAAAAAATCCCGATTCCTCTCACTTGTGCCAAATATGTCGAGTTTTATYTTGGGTCCAAARCACCGCATCGYTACTTCACTGAATTGCAAAAAAATCAAAAATCACTAAAACGTAATTTTTCTTTCTATTGCATCTACAAACAGTGAAGAATTATAGAGTACCTTTTGAAGTTAGTACTCGATAGAGCTCATCAGAGTTATGAAGTATTTAGAAATAAATCTATATTATTATAGTTAAAATATTTCAAATAAACGATCATTTGCTTAGCTCCACTGGTGCACAATTGATCCAAAAATGACATGGTTTGAATCCTTGAACAGTTCTAGTATTAGTCCAACGCCATTCGATTCAATGTTTGTCAGCAGTCTTCATGTGTCAATGATTACGATACCCTAAAATCAAAATTAAAGTCATGAAAAAGTTCTTTTTTATTCTAAACAAAAACTCAATGAATTTCAGGAGGACGACTAGCTTAAGATGAAACCATATATGATTATTTTCTTTGCGTGTCTGGTGGTGTCTTCGTATGCAGGTAAGATGTATAACRATAGATGATGTCCGCTGTCTGTATTGACCACACCTAWAAGGTTCTGAATCAGACTGTTCCAGTGTTAATCACATCTCACATCAATGAGAATTCGCATGATTGACTATCACTGCACAATAGATGAAGATCGCATGGATTTACTCTCTATTCCACATGCAGCCTCGACTTGACACTGATGTTTTAGTCCAGCTAGATCAGCGAAATTTGAAAGAAATTTTACTGACATTTGCATAATGGCCGGTTTGGGTTTTGAACCATAAAGGCCCGTTTACACTTGCGATTTTTGCAGCGCCTGAGTTGAGAACATACTTGAAATTTAACTGCAACTCGCGGCGATTTTCCATCGCCGCAACAATTGCAAGACTGTTTACACGTACGATTTTAGTTGCGCGATAGCAAAGTGGCGATTATCGCGCGACATTTGTACTGCAAAAACCGAAAGTGTAAACGGGCCAAAGTTTCCCTCATTTCCTCAAAGTTTATTTGACTATCAATGTTTCAAGTTTCAATTGGTGACAAAAATCTTCAAATGAAACATAAGAATATGCGATGAACCAAAACTTAATCATTAGTTATATGAAAATCGGCCATTTTTTCCGGTGAGTCTCGATGCGTCTACCCAGGTTGCATTAACCTGTACGATGTACAGCTGTCTGCGTGACAGAAAGTTCCCAAACAAGTTTCACAAATATGTCCACCATATTTACAGATTTACCCAGTACCATATTGACAGATTTACCAGTCTTTGACTGTTTCATTCAGACAACCACGGATTCCCTAAATTAAGTTACTCAATAATTTTTTGTCTGTTTTATTTCAGGATCGATTACAAGAAATAAACGAGGTAAGAAACTGATGAAAAACCATTCAATCTTTAAAAACTTTATGAAAAGTGGCACTAATTAATAATGACATGATGTTTATGATGATGATGATGATGATGATAATTGCAGGTTATTTATCACGAACTGGACTATGTCCCAATCCAGCTAATAACTTTCAAGTTAAAGACGTTCGTCTAAACTACTGGGGCATGGCTGTGATCAGAGAATCAGACAACCCCACCCCGAGATGCAATGAGAAGGAGTGTGATGAAGATAGCCATTGTGATGGAAACAGGAAATGCTGTTCAAACTACTGTGGTGCTAAAGTGTGTACTGTTTCAAGTAAGTTAGATAATAACAGTATTCATTTTATGAAATAACAATTAGTTGTGGGAAATGTTATCTCTACGTTATGACAATGAAAACTGAAACAATTCCCTGTATTGGAGGAGTCGATAACAAACCCTAATGTCATTCTATCGATAAAATATTTACTAGTATATTATCTTATTCTAACTTCTCTTCTCCTTTTCAGTGAGAGATCCTGAGCCTTGTAGCGTAAGTACACAACACAACACAACACAACACAACACAACACAACACAACACAACACAACACAACACAACACAACACAACACAACACAATACAACACAACACAACACAACACAACACAACACAATAATAATAATAATAATATTTATTTATATAGCGCAGTATTCAACATTACCGTTTTCACACGCGCTTTACAATTCCAAAAGAAAAATTATATATATGATAATCTAAGCTACTAAARCAATTTATAGTTACATTATGAWTTAAAAATAAAAGAAATTAATAATAATAAAATATAAATACATTATAAAATTCAGGCAATTCTACATGTGAACATAAAAAATGCGAACACAACACAACACAACGCATCACCRCCATCATCATTAGCATCATCACCATCATCGTCAACTTGGTTTGTTTGTCTTGTAGAATTTCAATTGTCCAAGTCATCAAGTATGCAAAGTACAAATGGTAAAATGTGTCATGCCTGATTGTCCTGCAGCTGAATCAATCAATAGACCAACCTGCGTACCAAAAGGCAAGCCTATCTTTGAAATACTATTACAAGTTATTACAACTGAGCAGAGTCGAACACCACCTTTACCTCTTTGCTTCTCCTAATCCAAAATACTTTTCTAATTATTAATTACTATTTAGTGATTTGTTTATGTTTTTGACTTGTATATTCACTTACTTCTTCTTAGATGAACTTATAACGGCTCACGCTGATCAATTAGGCGATTACCAGCCTGATACAGCAGCGGATCTCCTGAAGACAGAGCCTCAGCCTGCTCAACCTCAGCCTGAAGCTCTGTCCTACACACAACAACAACAACAACAACAACAACAACAACAACAACAACCACAACAAACACCTTACGGTGACGTACAATTTAATGACGCGCAGCAAGCAGCACCCGCTTCACCTAGTGACCAGCAAGCTTATGCAGCACCTATGGATCCATCAATGATGGCTGCAGCAGCCCCGGCAGAAGTACCAAACATCGTTCAATCTCCTATGGACAAGGCAGCTAGTTATAACGCTCCTAGTCAAGACACAGCTCTGAACTATCAAGCACAGCCAGCTGAAGCAGCCGCCGCCGCCGCCGCTCTCCCCCCACCAATGGACCAACCTGCTGCGGACCAACCCCCTGAAAGTTTTCCTCAAGTTGTCGCGCAGCCACCCGCTCAGTGATACACGAACGACATATAAACGTTAGCTGAAGCAGCTAAAGAAAAATTCATGGACCATGCAGTCTGTTTCGAATAGAAACACCCAATTGTCTACACGCTAGATCACGTAATATTTGACAAGTTTTTATAACGCTGACAGTGTAGACAGTGTGTATCGGGTAGTTAGTGGCATTTTGTAACATGGAATGATTTGGGATGGTGCGAGGTGTTAGGAAGAATTGTATCATGTAAATAAACTTACTTTCTTTGTTAACATGCAGTCAACTTGTTTGTGTCCATCTAATAAGAGTGTTGAATCACATCGATCACCTTGCGATATTCAGAAAAAACTCTTTTAAACATCGCACATCAAGCTTTATTTATACGCATTTAAATGTTCAACTTTGCAAAAGTATCGTCTCTATATCTACACAGCTACTACACGACCCACGCACGACTACAAAATAACCAATGGAAATAACGTAATTGAACTTATATACATATGCGATGACGTAGTGAGATGATTTTTGAGATGATTTTTGAGATGATTTTGCTGCGGATTAGTTATGAGTGTAACCCGAGAATCAAGCTCTCTGGAAGGAAAAACGGAGGTTTTTTTCCCTCCTCCTCGTCGCCGCAGTCGCTCTTGAAGGCCCGATATTCATGTATTATGGGTGCGAAAAAAGCTCTTTTGTGACCTGACATGTCTGTATGACCTGTATCTGTGATCTTTTCTCGCTTTTGTGCTTTACAAATCGTAAATACCAGACGAGGTTCATTGTGCATTACAAAATGACGTAATTTACGCACTAAATGACGTCAATCCAACTAGAGATGACGTAACGAAGCAAGATGACGTACATTCTATTGTTTATTCTTACAGTAATAATGATTGTTACAATAATTAGAATCTTTGTAGACAATTATCATATGAAAAATTGAAAAATTTACAATATATGAACGAATATAATAAAACCTTCCTCGCAATCAACAGGTATGTACATTTCGTCTTTCTATCCCATTAAATATTTCCCTTTCTAATTCTACTTATTTACGCCCTATCTCTTTTCATAGTATTCGTGGGTGGAGTTGTTCAAAGCTCTATTAGTGGTAACACGTCTAAAGGAAACTATAAACCCAGTCTATAAAAGATAATCGAGCTAATATTAACACTTACAGGGGTTTGAACAACTGTTGATGGTGGCCATGTAGACTGCGTCTAATAAACTCTTGCAAAGGCTTTTGGGAATTTTTTGGTCTCAAAACCTTGGGTGAAAACGTATTTTGCATGTCTGGAAGGAAGTGCTTAACGAATATATTTAGCGATAATCTCTCTTTGGTAAATAAATGAACACTTGCAAATCGTAACAGTTTTGCTTTTGGATCTGTTAGGAATAAATCTCATCTCTAGATCCCAATTTCCTATTACTCATGCTCAGCGAAAAGATAGGGCTTGGTAACGACTATAGAGCATGCGTAGTACGTTTTCACCTGTGTCCATTAAAATACATAAGATCAAATTGTCTTATCAAGTTGGTCTTATAAGCTTCAATCCCAAAATCCTTCTCAAGAGATGAGACAGTCTTTTTTGCTAAGAAATGTAAAATTAATCCATCATGTATTGCGAATATTGAAAACAAGGACTAAAATATGAGCATTTCTTAGCGTAATGACGTCATAGGCCACGGGTTAAAAAACGTGATGTAGGCCCCAGACCCCAGGAATCGAGGGCCTGATAATTTGGCTGAAAGTAATGGAAGTATCTTAGTGTTGTATTCAGAGTGCCCTGAAAAGCGCAGCCCATTTTCTTGGGACTACGGTTTAAACATTCAAAACACACTTAATTTGTAGTGCTATAATATCGACTAAATTTTTGGTTAGTGCTATTGAATATTGTGTGTCTTAACTTCATTGTGTCATACCGAGACACAAACCCGCTACAATAATTCTAAATCTGGCGTTTTCTCTTGCGTCACGCAAAGTGTACGACGAAAACCTTCATTTATGTGCTAGTAGAAGTTCTGTGACAGTGTCACACACTCCAGTCTACAAGTCAGTTGCACCATGTACATGTGGAAGCCTATCATTGATTGTGACTGTTTTCTTCTTGTGTGGTCGATTAGGTAGCGTTACAAYAGGGTGTTTATTATGAGTACATGTGTCTGAGTCTCTCTTTGGGTGTTTATATGTTGAGTAGTACTTAGGCTCATTACTTGATTTACCTAATGTATGACATGAATATGGACTGGATGGTAAGGAGCTGTCATCTCCACGACCGCTATCAAGTTCATCACCACTACTGAAGCACTCGGATACCGGTCGAGTGGTCGATATGGGAGGGTAGATATCGGCATAAGGAGGTGGCCCATTCAAACGATGACTGGCTGATGTTGTACTCGTTGGTGGACTTGTAGAACTAAACGAACTCTTGAGAGGCAATGGCTGCGCTTGACTTACACGAAGCGGTTTCCCTTTTTTATTATCAAGCATTTCATTCGATGAGTACATGTTCACCGTTGCTTGGCTATACATCTTTTTTGATGCTTTAATGGCAGCTTCTCTACTGAGCTCAGACTCGCCAAACGTACTTGAATCCCTCGTGAGTGGCTTACAATTCTTAGTCTTTGTTTGTCCCTGTCGTTTGTAGCATTTGATAATAACGACAACAACGACAACTAGGACAAGAAGGCTAATAATGGAGCAGAGAATCACAACTACCAGCATGGTCTTCGACTTGAGTATGCCGCCATCTGATGCTTGGGTGTCATAGACAGCGGGTACCTCAGAAGGTGCAGTTGTGGATTTCATGTATGGTAAAGTCACGACTATCTTAAGTGTTACATACGACGATTTACTTTCAACTCCACCATCCGTAGCTTTGATTTTTAACTCATAGGACGATTCAAATAAGAAGTCAAATACGACCAAGACACCACGATCTTTRTCTAGAATAAATGCTTTATCGTCGTTACCCGAAATAATTGAATATTGCACCTTCCCATTCCGCCCTTTATCAGGGTCAGTAGCTGTCACTGTCATTACCTCATCGCCTCGTTTTGCTGTCGAGGGCACAGAGACCTCGTGATTATCATTAATGCCGATAAATATTGGCGCGTTGTCGTTCTCATCTTCGACGGTAACAAGCACCTGCAAGCGCATGTCCGTTATGCCGTCCGTTACTATGACGATCAAGGTATGCGATGGTGCGACTTCACGATCTAACATCTTCGTAGTCTTAATCARACCAGTCGAACGATCGATCGAAAATCGTTTACGAGCGTTATTAATGATGTTGAACGACAATTTTTTACCAGGAAACGGTGGATTTAATACAATTCGACCAACTTTAGCTCCTTTTTTCTGGTTTTCTCTGACTGTAAAATTATACTGAAACTTTGCGCATACCACTATGACCTTKACGAATGCGGTACCGGTCCGTCGTACCCGCCCATGGTCTTTGGCCTCGATTAACATTTTAAACGAAGGAGTAAACGAGCACCACAATTTTGGAACAACTCTCAGTTCTCCTGTTCGCTTATCAAACTGAAAAAATGCTGCTGGTTTTGTTATATTCTTGTTTCCCATCTGCATGTACTTGATAGTGTATTCCAGTAATCCTTCCCTGCCAGTGTCTGGATCTTGCGCTACAAGGGTAGAAATCAGAGATCCTGGTTTCGAATCATCAACAACATTTAAATTGTAAACACGTTTAGTAAAGTTGGGYGCATGGCGGTTTTTATCTGCAATCCTCAGCARCACWGAATAGTTAGCGTCTTTAAATGCAGGCTTACCACGGTCACGAGCTGTTAACTTTATCTTGTATTTTGCCCGACGAGTTAAGTTCAATGGACGATCAACTTTCAACATGTAACGAGTCTTGAAKATTTTTTGAAGACTGAAGTCGGTGATATGTTTGCTCATAAAGAGGTCAACAATGCTGTTATTCGACCTGGGACTGTCATCGTCGAACACATCAATGATTGCAACGGTACGATGCACGGCAACATCCTCTGGTACTCGGCCATGTTTGTCAGTCAGCCCTTCTACTGGAGTGAAGATAATCACAGGTGCGTTGTCGTTTTCGTCTCCAACCTGTAGAATATAGACGCGTTGAGGGGTTTTTTGCTAAGTTGCAAGTATGCTATTTGAAGAAATATCAATAATAAGAATAGAAACTGTGCAGTACAGCGACGCCACTTTATTTTTTTTGACAACAAAGCAAACGTGTCATGCAGTCCTCGCAATACCCTCATGTCCGCTAAACCAAACCACAAAACACTGCACTTTTGTGTGTTTTGCGTGTGTTTTCTCTACCCAGGCGTCAAAAGGCACTTGCAATATTAAAAAGAAAAAATTAAAAAAAAAAAAAATTGAATCAGACCTAAAAAAGAGCGAGGACTACGTTTACCCACAATGCTTTGTATCAGAAAATGGCGTCGTCTGCACATTGTCTATTGATTAAATACAGTATATTTCTCTTTTAGAGATGATTTATAAGGTCTTAAAGATAATCTTCTAGCAGGGGAAACTTAGTTTAATGAATGAAAAGCAATGTAGTTACGCTGTTGTTCTGGTCACTGTTTCTTATTTTCTCCGTACATCACGTAAACCTCCCCACCCCTGTAAGATATTGTTTTGTCAAAGCAGAGTTCCCCCTTGTCGTGTCATGTCTTTGAAACAGATACATCTATAAAAGGATATTATGCGAAATAAAAGCCTTCAAAGAAAACCGATGAGAGCCGGGTGAATGAAAACAACCAGACGGCGGACGACGTAAGGCGCTTAAGGGAGGCTCAATGACTCAAAACAAGACAATTTATCAATTAATAATGTTTGTAATCAATTAAATCTAAAAGTTATCAACAATGAACGCTTCGGTAGACACGTTGATCTATGACATGCATCTTAATCATATCTAACACTTCAATAAGTAAGAAAGAAAAACCACACACAGGTCAACTAAGTCAAGGGCGCGTCATCAATAGCTCGCAGGATAATCCAGCCTTCAACCTTTATTATTGTCAGGATTTCACTAAGCACGACAAATCAACCGAGAAATGTTTAGGGTTTATTCAAAGCCACGGTAGACAAGTAGGCGACACGTAAGACGCCATGGCGCGGATTTCTTATAGTTACCCTAAGGGCAACTGCGCGTTAYGGAATAGTTGCGGAATTGAAACGTGCGCAATCCTCTCGCACACCACACGGGTTCTTGACGGAAAAWAAGCAGTTCCAAAAAAACTAATTCAGCTTGTCTACGATCTTTTGAGATAAAAACATGATTGCCAAGTGTGTAATAACGAGTAATTATGGTAATGGTCAAGACACGATGGCGGTTTTCAAGCAGATTTAAACCAAAATCACAAGGGTTATCTCTTTAATAAAAGCAAGTTCGAGACTTCTTAAATTCAATTAACATAGGACACGCCCTTAAGGTGAAATATCTGGGGTTGTTTGGCAACGATAGCGAATTAAATAACATTTCGAGAGGTTTCTTTCTTCTGGAAAAACCTTTTCTTTAGCAATCAAAGGTACAAAGTGAGCTACTATTTGTGCTTTAAGTTAAAAAAATGAATATTGAGAGGTACTAGTAAATAAAAAAAGAGATACCTGAGAAGGGAAAGAGAGTAAAAAAAGCTAAACGCAATAACTGATACATAAACAATGCCGTTTTTGAAATGTGCGGAAAAAGATATTTTTACAGCTAAGTATCTCAAAACAAGGAAAGTCTCCTCTACAGCTGAGCGCAATTATCACAGAAAAACCTAACAACACTGTCTTGGACGATGACAAATTAAGAGCATTTTTAATCGTAAAAAATGCCATCTATTTGACGTGAAAAGGCTGTCTGACACAGCTGTATTGCTGCGATATTCTCATTGACTATTGTTAGCATCGAGCGTGCAAGCATCCAGTCAAAATACATTAGTTGATAATCAATTCTATCATCAAAATACCCTATATCAAAATGGATACGTTTTTTCGTCGTCAGACTTTCAGTCAGACGGTCATAGGAAGGAACTCGTTCAAGGAGATGTTGATCGTGATTTGATGAAACACAATGTTTAATAAATGTATTTATGCAAGAACGACAACAACAAGGAAAAGGATGAAAGAATGAAAACAACAAGAAGGAAAGGGATGAAATAATCGATGGAAAACAGGAAATAAGAAAGAAAAACAGTATCCAGAATGAGCGCACAAAAGAGAAAGAAGGGAAATGAAAATATAAATGGGAAATTTTGAAAAATACTTGAAAAAGAGCCGACGAAGAAGCAGTGAACAAAATTAAAGAAAGACTTATTGTTATGTAGAAAATTACCAGATATTTCAAAAAAGATTGACTAGGGTCAATAATATACGACGCTGTCCCTCAAATTAATTAATTTCAGCTAAAGGTTGTACTACTTATCTACCACCGATAGATAGTAACTAAGCCTCAAGACGGTCAGTTAATCCTAAATAGGCTATGTATAATGAGAATCTATCCCATGGAGTTAACGTAGCCATGTAAGGAAAAAAGAGACTAATTGACTAGTGGTTCATGACTAAGATTCGATAGATATAATCGAGTCACTACGACTCCATCGGACAGGTTATCACTAGATGGAAAACCTAAGCAGTCACTTGAACGATGAACAATATTTCTTAATGCGCACTTCCGATACGTTTAGCAATAAAAATGTACACAAATGGTCCTTAATTAGAAGTCTAACGGTTTCTGTTCGCAGAGCCTCCGTTCAACAAGTGGCAACTGTTTTTCACAGTGCGATTGRTTGTGACATACAATCTAGGATTAGGGCGATCGTGTTTATGCGCGCCATTTCTGAGAGGAAGCCATGACGTGCAGTGTCTTTAATATTCAGCGGAAAACGATAACAAGAATGTCGTGGGGAAGAGAGGTTTATGAATATAAACATTGCTGTGGAATATTGAAAGGAAAATATTGAAGATAAGGACGAAATCATGGTAAAAACATACTTGAACACAGAGTGTGTGTAAGAAAACATAACGAAATGACTTTCTTTTTACAAATGGCGTCTTCAATGAGACTTGATTCAAAAACGTATTTCGCTTCGCCGGCATAATAACATCCCTGAAGGGTTTTAAGTGCACTGTTTAAATGGAACTAAGTGTTTTAAAGTGTTTATTTTTGCAGTCATAGTCAATCCGTTCACAGGGTGGGTTTCAGAGAAGGTAAAATAACCATCAAAATCATCGCTTTACAAAAATGAAGAAACCATACATCAACAGCTGGTTTGAAATACTGTGAGATAACATCCATCCTGTTGCACATGAAAAAGGTGTAACTACCATGGACCAAGAAAATATAGAATGCTAACCATCTAATTATCGATAATTACAGCTTATCTTCACGCATAATTCTTGGTCTTTTAGATATAAGTTTTTTTAAAAGCATGAAAATGAATTAAATAGTAATCTGTTTCGTTGAAGAAACTAATCTTCGGCCATAATCATTTCTGTAAAATATTCCTTGTTTCTTCAATGGATGATAACAATTATCATTAAATATTTTGACTATTGTCATATGTTTTCGCTATTAAAATGCAGGGAGTACATCAGTTATGCAAAACATGAATAMAAAACWGTGATGGACAAACCAAAAAACAGAGTTCATTTCGGAAATATTTGCGCAGATGTATACTCGACAAGAAAAAACGCTTTTTCAATACCCGTCAGGAAGATAGTTTTCTTTTAAGCTAGATGCTGTAGTTTACATAAATTTTTGAAAAGAATATAAAAAAATAACAGTTTTGGTTGCTTCTACAAGTGCGTCAGCTAATATTCTCTTTGGTTTTGATTTTTTCTTGTGTTTTTGTACATTTTTGCTTGATTATATAATGTAGAGTTAACCTTTTTAAGTAGTAACTTTAGCGCGCATGCTTCTGGTCTATTAATGATCACTTTTTTTCGATATTCTGTGTTTTACTTCGACATGGCACAAGTCAAATGCAGTTCGTTTTTATTCAAATCGTGAAGACAAAACAAGGATAAAAAGTGTGCGCTTTTTTTCCATCAGTGGAAAGTCTTAAACAATGGCCCACCATGAGCAAGATACGATCTTTGCTGTAACCTATCGCTCATAACAGCGACAAAAAGATAAGCTAGATTACTGAGCAATAAAAAAGCATACTAACGCTTGTCATTTATTGGCGGACAGTTTTGAAGTTAAGCCACAGTATAGATGAATAAAAAAAGATGAATTAATAACATTAGAAACAGTAAAGACCAACTCACGACAGATTTTCCAAGCCCACTTCAAAACATAAAATTCTAAAGGCTAAAGTTCCATTTTCAAAGACAGATTTAAAATTAGGTTAATTGTTAGGGAGCCACAGAGGTTTAGGGATAGTATTTTTAATAACGTTAATGATGCTCTTAGTACAATTAAGATATGCTTCGCTCTCTTAAATCTCTTAGGCTTTTGTCCTAGAATAAAAGAAAGATTCTTGAGGCTTGCCACACTTAGGTATTCTAAAACACCAGCCGGTAGACCTCTCGCCTGTACGTGTCTATACATAACATTTTATTTCAAAATAGAAAAATCGCAGGCGGTTTTATCTCTAGGATGAAAAACGTTCTTTCCAACCAGTCCCAAAAAACGTGATCTAAAAACGTGTTTATGGCTAAAATGGAATTTCCGCTATCTTTGTGGGTTCAAAAGCATTAGTTTAAACAACGATTACAGCATTTCCAAGTTATGTACTTCCGTTGAGAGCTATAATTAGAAGGTTTACGTTTAATATTTTGTCTTGTTTTGGCTCTAGTTTCACAGACAAACTTAAAACATGCAAAACGAAATGTAAAAACGTTGAAAATCTATTTTCAAGGCAATTTCAATAGAAAAGATTTAATTACAACTCAAACTACCTGTTAATTACTGTTTTACCATAACTCCATTGAAATGTGGTATATTGGCAGGCATTGTTCTATTTTCTGAGCATTTTAATATATTTTATGAGACGAAAGAACACTTTATAAAAGCCTTTGTTTAGGTGTTAAGTTGGACCAGTTTCAATCAACGAAGATTTTAGCCAACGAGAAAAGGTGCGAATATACTCATAGAATACCACGTGGTTGACAGCTAAAGAAAACACTACTTTCTGTATATTATAGTTGTAAAAACAGCTTTTAGCCTTACAGAACAGCAAAAGAAGTTTCAGTAATAATCTTGATGAAAGGGGGCGGTTTAAGGCGATGTTCAATAAAAGTGAACGTATGTCAATCTTGTACGAATAGATTGATCCTTTGAGTGTTTTGCGCATTAACTACAAGATTTACGAATATCGCTTTTTCTTATGTTAAAACCTTATATTGATTTGTGTCTTATGTACTTTAGAAAATGTCACATCAATGTGTTACCCATGACTGGGGCTCAAATTCGAACATCATGTCTTCGCGATTTTCGCATACTAGCTCGACGGGCCACCATTAGCGATCTTCGACAGAAGTAAACAAGCTTTCCTGAAATGTTTACCGTGCGAAAAGTTTAATTGTTAGCAGAAAAGGATAGCAAATAGACATAAGTAAACATAGATGTCTTGCTTGTTGTTTTAGTTATTTATGAAATAGTTTTCTTTGACAGTGTTCTCAACTAATTGACTAGAAGTACACAGGCTACTTAGCTGGTCTTGAGCGCTCTGGGAGTCTAACAGAACAAACACCAGAAAAAATATATGATAAACATCTAAATTCACCTAATAGTCTTTTGGAAAACTAGCGTTTGCATTGCAATATTTCTATGCAAATTTGAGTGCCAAATAAGATTAACTTTGTCGAGAATGTTTCGGAAGACTAGAATTATCCAAAGGCGCCTCTTGCTGGGAACATTGAAATTAAAAACAACCAATATGTCATGTGGAATATCACGAAAAAAATATCTAATTGCCTTAATAAAACAACATCGTAAAAACTGATTAAGAAACAGCGTTTTTT